TCAGAAGGAGATTTAACTTCAAAAAGGCAAACTGGCAAAAGTATGCAGACATGCTAGATTTTGAACTACTACGCCTTGAACCAAAAGTAGAGAACTACGAAAAATTCGTAGAGGTACTCAAAAATGTGTCTAGAAAAACTATCCCTAGAGGATGTAGACAACAATACGTTCCCGGGATGTCCAGCGAGTCCAAAGAACTAATGAGAACATACGAAACCCTGTATTCCACTGACCCTTTTAGCCAAGAAACGGTTGACTGCGGAGCAGTACTACTCCAACAGCTAAGTCAAGCCAGACAGGAAAAGTGGATTGAGACCCTGGAAAAAATGGACATGACACATAGTAGCAAAATTGCATGGAACCTTGTAAAAAAACTCAGCGGTGATCCAAAAGAACATAAACCACTTTGCAAGGTTACAGCAAACCAAGTCGCTACTCAACTCCTTACGAATGGAAGAACTACTATCCGATATAAGGACCCAAACACTAGGAGAAGATTGGATTCGGAGACAAACCACCTAGGAACTCCTTTTACACTAAAAGAACTACACGACGGTCTGAACAGGTTAAAAAACGGGAAAGCTGCAGGTGTGGATGATATATGCAGTGAACAAATAAAGCATTTAGGCCAAGGAGCAAAAAACTGGATCTTGCAATTTTATAACACGTGCTGCAAAACCTGCAAAATTACAAAATCATGGAGGAAATCTAAAGTAATAGCCTTGTTAAAACCAGGAAAGGATCCAGAAGACCCCAGTAGCTACAGACCTATTTCGCTATTGTGTCACTTTTTTAAACTATACGAGAGACTCATACTCGCCAGAATAGAAAAAAATGTCGACAAGCACCTCATCCCACAACAAGGAGGATTCAGACCTGGCAAATCTTGCACCGGTCAAGTCCTCGCATTAACAGCACACATTGAAGAGGGCTTTGAAGAAAAACTTATAACAGGGGCTGCTTTTGTAGATCTGACAGCAGCCTATGACACAGTAAGGCACAAAACATTGCTCCGCAAATTATACGATACTCTCAATGACCACCATCTGGGAAAGGTCGTATATTCCTTACTACAAAATAGACGTTTTTTCGTTATGCTGGAGGGTAAAGTAAGTAGGTGGAGAGTTCAAAAAAACGGCCTCCCACAAGGAAGTGTTTTAGCACCAATGCTCTTCAATATATACACAAACGACCAACCTACTCCGACCGAAACCAAGCACTTCCTCTATGCTGACGATCTTGCAATATGTGCTCAAGGAAATAGTTTTGAAGAAGTGGAGGAGAAACTTGAAACTGCCTTAAAAACAATGACAGCGTACTACCTGCAGAATTCTCTGAGACCCAATCCCTCTAAAACCCAAGTCTGCGCTTTCCATCTTCGCACAAAGAAAGCCAAGCGAAAACTCCAAATTGTGTGGAATGGTAATACATTAAAACACATAAACCAACCTATATATCTTGGAGTAACTCTGGACCGGTCCCTCACCTACAAACAACATTGCATAAAAACAAGAGGGAAAGTAACAACTAGGAACAGTATACTCAGAAAGCTAACGGGAAGTAAATGGGGCGCACGTCCTGGCGTTTTAAGAACAACGGCACAGGCACTGTGTTTCTCAACTGCTGAATATGCATGCCCCGTTTGGAGCAGATCTGCCCACACCAAACAAGTTGATACTGCGCTAAATGAGACATGCAGGATAGTAACGGGGTGCATGAAACCAACGCCACTTTCAAATCTATATAGAGCAGCGGGTTTTGCAGAACCCTCAACACGCAGAGGCGCTGCAGAACACATAGAGAAAATTAAACAGAGCGTTGACGATCGGCATGCCCTGTACAAAGCTCGAACACCACGAAAGCGACTAAAATCTAGGAAAAGCTTCCTTGGAACAGTGAAGGATGAACCGCCTGAGTATTTTCCACTTCCCCAGGTTCAATGGACCGGCCAGACCCTAGACTTTAAAACGTGGAAAACCTTGAATAGGATAAGAACGGGGGTTGCTACAGTAAAATCAAACATGGCAAAATGGGGAAAAATAAACCAAGATGATGTGAACTGTGACTGTGGAGAAACACAGAATATGGAACATCTTCTTACATGCAGAAACTGTCCTCATCGATGTACCCTTGAAGATTTGTGGCTCGCCAACAAAGATGGAACCGACGTAGCCCGATACTGGGCCGAAATTTTATGAATGACATGTCCGGACACGATAAAGTAAAGTAAAGTAAGTTATTATTTCAGCATTTATTTAACTTTGTATCGAGACCTGAAGATGCTTTGCATATTGTAGAAAGCGAAACCGGTCGTCTAAATATTTAAATTAAATTGATTGTGAGTAAGTCTTATTTATTATTTCTTTACCTATTTGAAATGGACTCAGATAAGCAACACATTCATGATTTAAATTCACCCTAACATTTTTATTTCATCTACTTCCTACTTGTTGTCCTGAACCCACTTTATAGGCCACACTCTACCACCGTATACCACAGAATACCTCACATCACTCTTGTACATCTTTCATTACAGTCCTTCCTAGGTATTTCGACCACAGAGTACTCCGCTCATTCGCTTCCAGTTAAACCAACCAGCCTATATCTTATGAATAGATCACTACAGGAGAAATGCGACCAATTTGTGGCAATTGGAGTTAGAAGACCCTGATAGTAAGTAGGCAACAATAACCACAGAGGAAACTATAGCTACCTGAGAAAAGGAATGCCAAACATTTAAATGTTTAAAACAAATAAAAAAAGTGAATTCTAGTAAATAATAGAAGTAAAATGTAATGGAATGTTCCGCAAAACAGGAAAACAAAAAAGAAAAAAAGGTATATCGATGGAAGGCAACCATAAATACGTATTTCTGTCTATTGGTCGTCTTTAGTACTTCTTCTTCTTCATGTACCACGTCCTTTCAGAACGTTGGTTACCATCATACCTATCTTGATTTTATTCACCGCCACACTAAACAGCATACTTGTGTCAACACCATACCAATCTCGCAAGTTCTTCAACCATGAGATTCTTCTTCGTTCTGGACTAAGTTTGCCTGCTATTTTTCCTTGCATGATATTTTGTAGCAACCTATATTTGGGACCTCTCATTTCATGTCCGAAATATTCCAGCTTTCTCTGCTTGATACTTTTTATGATCTCAGTAGTCTTGCTGAGACGTTCTAGTATTGTGGAGTTTGGAATCTTCTCTACCCAGGAAACTTTTAAAATATTTCTATAGCACCACATTTCGGAAGTCTCAAGGCGATTTAAATCGATTTTATTCACAGTCCAGACCTCAATACCATAAAGTAAGACCGAGAATACGTAGCAGCGAAGTAGGCAGATCATCAATGCCAATTTTAGGTCTCTGTTACATAACACCTTGGATATCCTTCTAAAAGCAGCTCTATCCTAGATCTTATTTCGCCGTGACTTTCTGAGTTATAATTTAATTGCTGTCCAAGGTAAACGATTTTATCAGCTTGCTCAAGTTTGGTATATCTTCAGTACGGTGCAGCTAACTTAGATATGGAGCATGTTAACTTGGGAAAGGATCACCACAGGAGCAAAGCGACCAATTTGTGGCAATAATGTTAGGTGACTCAATAATGAGGTTTCCAGTGCAACAACTAAAGTCATCAAGACTGCATCAACTAGTGTATTATGACATTTTATCTGTTGTGGTGTTAGAACTAGTATGTGGGTGTATTCAGGCAGGCATAACGTTAGAACTCCTTTTAACTCATTCAACAAATTTAAAGAATACGTTTATTTCTACTACAAATATATTATTCGCTACAAACATCGGGGTAGATCCATTGACCTGAACCCGATAAAATCTAAATGTAGCTGTAATTTCCTTTAAACGCAAAATATTCAATCAGTCTACCAAACTGTGTCAATGCTTTAGACACATAGTTTTGCTGCGTTATCATTTAGATTACAAACAAATCTACCCAATTAGCAGCATACGCAGATGACATAAACATAATGAGCAGAACAAAGACTGCGGCAGAAGAAACCTACGTTCAGTTGAAACAGAGTTCAGAAGTTGTAGGGCTAACAATAAATACAAATAAAACAAAACTACTCATACAAACCAGATCAAATAGACAGGCGCAACAACAACAATTTATAGACGATATAGAATACGTGAATAGATTCACGTATTTAGGAATGGATCTGGTCGAAAATAATGAAGAAGAACCGGAAATAAATAGAAGGCTTATGCTGGCAAACAAAGCCTATTTCGCGATGGGCCACACATTCAAATCGCGAGACGTACACCGGAAAACAAAACTCCGGGTATATAAAACAATAATCCGACCCATAGTAAGTATGGGTGTGAAACATGGGTTATAACACAGAAATCTACCAATGCATTAGACGTGTTCGAAAGAAAAATATTGCGTAGAATACTGGGTCCAATAAAGGAAAATAACAACTGGCGAATTAGATATAATAACGAAATATACGAACAATACACTGAAAAAACAATAGCACAATACACTAGACTGCAGAGATTACGATGGGCAGGGCATGTGGCCCGCATGCATGAGAACAGAATCCCCAGAAAATTACTAAACGCAAAAATGCAAGGAAAAAGACCTGTTGGAAGACCAAAAAAGAGATGGGAAGACGAGGTAGATGAGGATGCCAAAAATCTCCTAAAAACGCGTTCATGGAAAAGAACAGCAGTAAATAGAGATGTTTGGAGAGGTTTAATGAAGGAGGCCAAGGCCCGGCTTGGGCTGTAGTGCCATTGGATATGGATGGATCAGTTAGATTGGGAAGCTTGTTACCGTGTTTATGTCGTAAGTAGGTTAATAAATAATAATTTACATAAACAATTTTATTCTATAACAAGAGAATTTTTAAAATCTCTTATTTCCGATACACAAAAGGCACGTGCATATGGCACGTTATCCTTCAACATGAAATTGGATACCAATCATAAAAGCATAAAAGTAAAATTCTTAAAGTCTGCATACTTACGGGGAACTTTCTCTTTTTCTTTAGCCGGAACCCACAGATTTTTAATATCATGTTGCTCTTTGAAGTTCTTTTCAAATTCTAAACCACCTATTGTTCTCTTGTGATATAGTTCTACATTGGACAATAACTGTAAAACAAATGGAAAGACAGTTAAGATTTGATTTCACGTCATCGAGTTAGAATCTATGGAGAGAGCATCACGTGTCTAAAAACGTCCGCTCATCGGCAATATTGTTAAGAATTGTTTTGACACTTGTGACAGATCGTATATGTTTGTTTACATTTGTTGTTTTTCGAATATTTTTAGTTTTATAATACTTTTATAGAAACTGTAATAATATATTGTGATAGTGCAGCATTTGCAATTTCATTGATTCTTTGATGTATATTGAAATCCCCTCGTATATGTAATAGATTGAAATCCCCCCATATGTTAAAAAAAACGAAGAATTTTTTTCATCTTTGTTAGTTCGTATCTTTTAAATTAAAATACCCAAAAGTGTTTTCAATAATTTTATTTGCATTGCTGGATGTTAATGTAAACCATTTTAGAGTTGTTTATTTAATTAGCAGCTGCGTATTGTTTTGTCGATATTTCTTTGATTTAAGCCCCCCGATGTACTGCGTTGGAGAAAATTTGCGTTTTAATTCTTGTCAAGTGTTTATTTTCAAGTTGCGTGAACGAATTTTTAAGATAATTTCGTCATTCTTACTTGGGTCGCTGTAGGCACAAGTGTGGATCCAAATTCATGTCTAATTTTTAAAATTTTCTGTTTTTGGCCCCTTTTAGTGGAAATATGTAGCAGTGAAAAGGAGTTTTGTAGCAGTTAATGGTTCAGTTAATGTTTTGAGTGAGGATTGGAAGAATCGTCGTTTCCATCCTCGTTTTGTTTCTCCCTGGTTGCCATCCAAGGCTTTTTGGCAGTTTGGGGATGGATTTGTTCGTGTGTTCGTAACACAGAGAGAGTGAAGCCTCCAGTTCCAGTATAGTTCCAGTTTTTTTTGTGAATTAAGGTAACTTTTGTCTTAAATTTTAAAGTAAAGACATATATTTTTTTATCATAATTGCTTTCATAAAAATTTAAACAATACTAATATTAAATATTGTAAATTTTGGGTTTTGACTTTAGCTGTTATTTTATTTGTTTTCAGTTTTTAAAATTTAATGTTCGTAATGTAATGTATTTTCGATATTTATTTGTTTTGCTTGTTAAAAAAAAAGGTTAATCTCTATGCGGTATCTAACATTTGTAAGTTTTTTGTAGTATCTCCAACTCCTAGAGTTTGTAAATGGATGACATGTAAGTTTTTTGTATTTTTGTATTTTGCGACTATTGAGGTAAGTAATATTTTTGTATTGTCTTTTTTGAGTATTCTTGTATTCTCTATGTTTTGTAACTGTTTGTGGTAAGACACAATAAATATTAAATTTTGTTTTCTTAACATTTTGTTTATTTTTTTTAACTAACCCTTTTTTGAGTTTTATTTGAAAAAGATATGTTTTTTATGTTTAATAATTATTTCCCTAGTTACAACTAGTGGTTGTAATAGGTATAATTAGGCACCTCAAAGTGGCGCCCTATATTAAATTACTAGAGGTGTTTCCTGTTTCTTTTTGCTTTATTTATCCCATGAGATTTAGTACCCTTTGTTCCATTTTTTTTGTAATTGCCCAATCCAATCCCCTTGCCATTTACTTATCCACGACCCCAGCTCTTCTAAGAAACCCTGAGTGCCGTTCGCACAAGTAGCGTTTATTTTGCTTGCCCTCTCTTTACCCCCATAATCTTACTCTGAGGTAGACAAAATATTTTCGTTACAATAGTGCATAATAATGGTTTCTCATTCTCACTAATAACCAACAAAGGAGGCTGTACTGAAAAAATAAAGCGGCGGTCAGCAATCGCAAAAAGCGCTATGGCAAAATTAACAAAAATTTGGAAAAGCCATGAAATTACTACCGATACAAAAATGAGACTAGTAAGAAGTCTAGTTTTTCCAGTTTTTACTTATGCATCGGAATGCTGGACCCTTACTGAGAAAGACAAAAAGAACATAGATGTATTTGAGATGTACTGCTGGAGACGAATGCTGAGAATACCATGGGTGGCCCGAAGAACAAATGAATCCATACTGGTCCAGCTAAACATAAAGAAAAGACTAAGAACACAAATAACAGAACAGATAATAAGCTATTTTGGACATGTGCTTCGAAGAAATGGTCTTGAGAAACTTACCATCCAGGGAAAAGTAGAAGGCAAAAGAAGTAGAGGTAGATCTCCTACACGATACACGGACCATATTGTTGCTATCATTGGCGCTCCATTGTCAGAATGTGCTAGATTGGCAGAAGATAGAAAAACGTGGAGGAACATTGGAAAAATTACCTAACAGCTTCATGATATCACGATACCTGCATCAGGTTAACGACTAAGAAGAAGAAGGTATACACACTTAGGTATAAAGTATTTTAGTATACACACGTTTTAATAACACAACTACAAATCTTAATTATGCTGGATTTTCAGAGATACGACAATATATTTGATTGTCGTATCCGAAATTTTTTAACATATATGTGTTATGTGTCAGATTATTGGATGGATTGATATTTATTTCAATGAACTGTCAATATGTTAGCTGTTTTGTTTGATATATAATATATATTATATTGAGCTACGTTATCGTAATTTTTGCCTCGCATAGTGTAGAAGACCCAAAAGCAACACTTTATTCATTGCATTTATATAATAATTAGATCTTTGTACCATTTTAAATATATTTCAAATAGTAAACATAAACACACCACAAAAAAAAGGTTAAGGTTCAAGTTAGAAATGTCAACAATGTCAAAATTCATCCGATTTTCGTGCAAAAGTTAAATATTTTTAACTTCTTCCGATGACTTTTAATTTCATACGAAAATTATACCTGTCATTTTTCAACCAATGAAATTCTCTGAAATTTATATTGTATCATCGTACCATCGGATATAGGACCTGTGAAAATCCACCTTTATTGGTTGAGTGACAAGGTTTCATGTGTCACCTTGATTTGTCGATTTGTAGAATGTCATTCTAGTTTGGTTTTATTTATGTTCACGGATAGAACCTTGGCATTGTAATGAGTCAGAATTGCGTTGTTAGCCAGCGCTGTTGTCAGATCAAAATATAGGGAAGATCATTTGGAACCTTTTCACACTAATAACTCCAAATATGCGATTTTGTTAGTTGGAACGCTGTCATCTTAACCTAACGATATGTTGTACGTTTTTGTTCTATCATGAAGCGTATTTGTACTCTATTTTCAAAGATATATAAGCAAAACGAGAATATCTACAATTACAATAAAAATAAAGGTTTCAACTAACACCTAGTTGGAAATAAGAACTTAAAAATCTACTCAGATTCACTGTTATCACTAGTATCAGTTGTATCTTCTAAATTTATAGTTAATTTGGTTATTGCTGGTAAATATTTAACATAGTCATTTTCCACTTTAATTACATGTTTGATTACATTTTTGCAGTTGGTTGCTGTGATCTTTGTGACTTCTCTTCTAATTAACTGGAGAGCAGTAGACAAAAATTTAGGAGCCACGTTTTTTCTTCTTTTATTTGCTTCAAGTTGGATCCATATTAACTCTATTGGGTTCAATTTACAATAGTAAGGAGGAAGTCCAAGCACGGTATGCCCATTACTGCGAGTACAGTTATCAACAACATATACCTTCTGGTACTGTCTACTATAAACAATCTCCAACAATTGCTTTTTACTATGATGCCTCAAAGTACAAATCTCTCCCAAATAAAAATTCTTGAATTTGTTTCAAGTACTATTTGGAATTTTCTTATTATTCTTGATTATGTTGTCCATACAATAATCACACTATATTTATGTAATCTCGGAAGAAGAGATTCTTCAAACCATGATTCAAAAATTAAACTTTTCATGTCCTCATGATAATTCAAAGACGCATCTTTATTTTTTTTTGCAGATATTAATAATACATAATCGATCCATCTATTATCTCCACCGCAGTGTAAAATTATAATTCTCTGTCCTGTCATGAGTATCACACCAAGTCTCATCTAAATAAACAAGATTTCGTTTCATTTTTTGATACTCAGTTATCTATCGGATAGAAATGTCCCTTTAAGAAATAATTATTCTAGTACTTTCCATTAGTGTTTGACGCTTGTCTATAGTTTTTTACTTAAAATTATGGGTTTTAAGAAATCATCAAAGTGTTGTTGCTGAATATAAGAGAATATCCTTTCGAACCAGTTCACTTCGAAAGCTTTCAATAGTTGGAAAAATATTAGCCGCTTCCATTTTATATATTGTTCTAATTATATGTTCTTTTAGGTGCGGTTCTATTTGTGTGAATTTGCACAATCCTTTCTCACCTGTCTAGAAGAAGATGTTGCTCCAATAGTCTTGTATCAGATTGCTTTCGACACTCTGATAAACATGTTGCTACAATTGTTTCTTATTTAGACAATTTAGAACACAATCCTTCATAAACATGTTTCAGCATATATTTGGGATCATCAGAGAGATATTGAAAATGTCGCTTACATTTTACTACACAGCTTTGTAAATATTCCAATTGATTAGAGGGTTCCACTGGATTTTCAGCTGCAGAATTATTATCACACCACGGGTGCCACATTTTAAAAGTATCTTCGTAAAATTATAAAGTTTACTGTTCTTTTACATATGTTTACGGACTTTCTTTCTTTGTGAGTTTTATAGAAACTAACTTCTGTTTTTTTTTCAAAAAAACATTGAACGTTTACATCTATGGTTCCTGAGTTGAACTTTTTTTATACTTGAACCCTCCATATCCTCATGATAATCTAGATTCACGTCTTTCATTTTTTTTTGCAGATATTAATAATACATCGTCGATGTATCCATTTTCTACACCGCAGTGTAAAATTATAATTCTGTCCTTTATTGGGCGGTACTGAATTAGAACACTTTGTGTTATTATTCGTCCAACTTATCTTCACCTTGTCATGAGTACCATACCAGGTTTCATCCAAATAAACAATATTTCGTTTAAAAATAAAGTTTAAAATAAAGTAAAATATTATTCCTACCTACCCAAGTGTAAACCACTGGACGGTCAAAACGAAATTTATTTGGATAAACTACCTTATAGTTTCGGTCGCTCAGGCAAATATTGTTATCTTAGGCAAAGAATGCATCGATGATAACTTTATCTGGGCGACTGTACATATCTTCAAACATAATACCAGGCACATCTGAATGTAAATATCGATGGGGATATTAAAACTTTACATCTCAGTCATTGATAATTTTGCAGTTAATAACTACTCCTGGTAGAGTACTTTTATTTTAATTTTTATTGCCTGCTTTTGTTACAGATAAATATATTCTTACACAGTCTCACCGAAATACGAGGCGACTATACTAGAGGTGTTTCCTGTTTCTTTTTGCTTTATTTATCCCAAGAGATTTAGTACCCTTTATTCCATTTTTTTTATAATTGCCCCAATCCAATCCTCTTGCCATTTACTTATCCACGACCCCAGCTCTCCTAACAAACCCTGAGTGTCGCACAAGTAGCGTTTATTTGCTTGCCCTATCTTTACCCCCATAATCTTACCCTGAGGTAGGCAAAATATTTTCGTTACAATAGTGCATAATAATGGTTTCTTGTTCTCATTGTAGTTGCAGTAGCAGAAGCAATGGTAATCAAAAATCTTCAGGAATATCGTTCCACAGGTTAGTATACAAATATTAAACAAAGTAATAGCCCGTACTTCAGAGAATAAATTAATAGTATTTGACTGTATTAATTTATCTTTATGTATAATATATCGTGTTTTTAGTGTTTTCCGCGGGATAAATAAATCATAGTTTATTAAAAATGTATCATCAAGTAAATCACTTTTTTAGATTATGATTAAATCTTCTGAATAACTAGTTATATTTGTATAGTAGTTTTAATATTTTTGACTCTGGCCCTGATCCCACCGGTATATTGGTATTATCGTTAGCCACGCCTAGCTGCGCCGTTTTACGTTAATATGCTCATAGCTTATCCATAGATTCTAACTCGATGTTTTACGTATTGGCGACGTGCAAGTACTTGGATGTGATACAAGAAACGATCGTGCGCGAGTAGCGGAGAAATCTTGCATTTTTTACTGCAAATTTCATAGATTTCATAAATTCATATTGTCAATTGTCATATTTCATATTCGTTGGTTTATTTACACCTTCTGTCACTGAAGAAAATGGGATTTAGGAAATGCTGTGTTATAAATTGTAAAAATACAACAAAAAATTGACAATTTAAGTTTTATTCGTTTCCAACTTCGAAGCACAAACTACTACAAAGAGAAAAGTGGATTTATATCATAAAAAAGCATAAGTAACATAACCTAAATTATGCATTATTCTTGCGCCTGATTTTAAAGTCAGTTTAAAATAAATAATAAATAAAAGTTCACTTTTAAGTGTAAATTTTAGTTTCATAACACTCACTTAGAGTTCATTTTAACCCAAAAATCAAGTTTAATGTTTAAATTTTATTTTTTTAAAGTTTACAAAAATGCATCAAGTACAAGTTATTCTGAAGATGCATTAAGATATATTCGCTGTAAAAGATTTTACAGGGAAAGAATTATTTGTTCAAACCAATATGATGATATCATGGGCTTAACCTGCTAATTTATGCATTTATGCATTAGCATTATTTATGGTAATTTATTTTTCTTAATTCTTCCACATAATTCTTCCATTCTTGTTTGACATTTGCCACTACTAAAGCTTTTCCATTTGACTCAGTGCTTGGTTAAAAAGTAATTTGGTGATTTACTTTCTCAAATCCAGTTTTTATTATTGCATCCATATTAACAGTAATGCTGTAATTTAATAATATATTTATTTGTATTTATACTACATACAACGTTTACCTTTTAATAACATACCGACATAACCTCAATCTTACTTTTTCTTTTTATTCTTTTTTGGGGCTACGTCCTTGACAGTTATCCGGTAACATCGATCTAACATGAAAGCGCAGTAAATTTTGCTGATTTACGACATCAGGTGTCGCTATTCCGAACTTGCACGGTCCCAATAGTGCGTCTGTATATCCGCTTATACGTATTTCACCCTAAAAGAGATCTTCGGAGCGGCTATTCACAAGCGCTCTAAACGTGAAAACAATCTTTCTTGTCATAGTAGAAGCAACACTAAAATGGTTTCGATCTGGACGCAATAGCGACATCTGATACATAAATCCGTAAACTAATTTTCAAAACCAAATTCAGATTTCTGCTTTAATCTGTGCCTTCTAAGAATTGCAAGACAAAACAGACATTGATAAAGATGTAATTAGAGACATGGGGAATCTAAAATTGCATTCCACAACATATCTCCTCAACTGAGCAAAAATCCTTAGCGAATTGGTTTCTCGTACTCATATACAAGGACGAAATATAGTACATTTCTACAAAAAATAGTTTCAGTAAGTTTCAAAAAATAAAACTGTATTAGGTGTATATTTAAGTCTAATGATTGTAATTATATTAATTAGTTTGAGAGTTTAATTAATATATGTGTTGGAAATCCTTTCATTTTGTTGTAGTCTATTTTAGTAGTAGGGAACATAATGAATAGTTTTACTCACCGTTTGAAAATTCTCTGTATTGCTTATTTTCTTACCCATCCCTCTGGTTGCTAAATGAACAATTTTTTTCAATGAAGCTTCATCAAAGCCATCTACACCTTCCAAAGATATACAGTCGAGGAAAAACTCATACCTTAAAATAGTTATTTTAATTTAAGTAAATAAAATATGAGTTATTATTGCTCTAAAATACTGATGCAATTGCTTTAGAACCAATGATGCTATTTAATATGAGAAATTCTTTTATTGAATGTATTGACAAATGAATGAAAGAAAATGGTGAATATATCGAACACTTACTTTGACAAAAAGTTAAATGATATTTGATGGATTCGACCGTTACTTGATGGAAATTCATTTTATGTAACAATAAAACACTGAAAACTTTGTTTTCAAACTTTCACAAAATTTATTTTATTTATTATCACTACAGCTGTTTCGGCTGATAGCCTTTCTCAAGTGATCTATTTTTGGATTGGGTTTACAAATTTATAGTCTCTAACGAAATAGGTTGAGGAGGGGAGAACTGTTTGTCTTAAGTTGGTCATTCAGAATTATATCTGTGTTTTTTAATTTGTTGATTTCCATAGATTCTAACAAAGATAGCTTAAGGCCTTTATTTTAAATGCGAAGAATTTTAAATTTGTCATTAAAAGAATGATTATGATCTAGAAGGTAAAGTGCGTATGTCGAATCTGTTCTTCTATTCTTGAAAGCCCTTTTATGTTCTGCTATTCGTTTCTCAAAGTTTCTACCAGTTTGACCGATGTAAGTTTTTGGGCAGTCGCCACATTGAATTTTATACACACCACTATTTAAGTGTTTTTTATTTTGGCTCTTGTTATTTTTAATATATTTACCTAGGTTGTTATTTGTTCGGAAAGCTGGTGTTATTCCTTTCTTTTTTATGTGTTTGGCAATTTTTGTTGTTATTTTGCCTGTATATGTAATCGAGCAGAAGGTACTGAGTTTTTTCTCTGGTGGTGGAAATACTATTTTCAGGGCTGTCTTGTGTAGTTTTTGATTTAACATTTTATTAATTGTTTGTTCGTTGTATCCGTTGTTTACTGCTATTTGCTTAATTATATTTAATTCTGTCTCAAAGTTGTCTTTTGACATCGGAATTTCTGTTAATCTATGTAACATACTATGATAAGCTGCCAGTTTATGTTGTGTTGGATGGGATGATGAATTGTGTATAGTCGTGTCAGTATGAGTAGGTTTGTGAAATATGGAGAAGTCATGTTTGTTTTGAAGTCTGCTAATTTTTAAATCTAAAAAATTTTTGCATTGATTTTGTTCTGTTTCTATTGTAAATTCAATATGACTATGAAGTGAATTAATATACGATGAAAATTGGTCGAGTTGCCTGTTAGTTCCTGTGAAACATACCAGTACGTCGTCTACGTATCTCCACCAATATAAAAACTGTTTGAATACGGGATGTTTTGAAATCTTTGTCTCTAGATGATCCATAAAGATATCTGATAGCAACGGGCTTAGAGGATTACCCATTATAAGTCCTGCACTGTTATTTGTATATATTTTATTATTAAATTCAAAATAGTCCTGGTTTATGCAAACTTCAAGAAGATGTAATATTTCAGATGTAATTACTGGATTTGTACTATTTTGGTCTAAAAAGTTTTTTACTAGAATAAAAGTTTCTGTAGGAGGGATACTAGGAAAAAGATTTTTTACGTCAAATGAAATTAATCTGGAGTTGTTAGGTAATTGAAAATGTTGTATTTTATTAACTAGTTCTATTGTATTTTTTAGAACACACTAAATTTTCATCTAAATTCACCATAAAAAATACAATAGAACTAGTTAATAAAATACAACATTTTCAATTACCTACCAACTCCAGATTAATTTCATTTGACGTAAAAAATATTTTTCCTAGTATCCCTCCTACAGAAACTTTTATTCTAGTAAAAAACCTTTTAGACCAAAATAGTACAAATCCAGTAATTACATCAGAAATATTACATCTTCTTGAAGTTTGCATAAACCAGGACTATTTTGAATTTAATAATAAAATATATACAAATAACAGTGCAGGACTTATAATGGGTAATCCTCTAAGCCCATTGCTATCAGATATCTTTATGGATCATCTAGAGACAAAGATTTCAAAACATCCCGTATTCAAACAGTTTTTATATTGGTGGAGATACGTAGACGACGTACTGGTATGTTTCATAGGAACTAACAGGCAACTCGACCAATTTTCATCGTATATTAATTCACTTCATAGTAATATTGAATTTACAATAGAAACAGAACAAAATCAATGCATAAATTTTTTAGATTTAAAAATTAGCAGATTTCAAAACAAACATGACTTCTCCATATTTCACAAACCTACCCATACTGACACGACTATACACAATTCATTATCCCATCCAACACAACATAAACTGGCAGCTTATCATAGTATGTTACATAGATTAACAGAAATTCCGATGTCAAAAGACAACTTTGAGACAGAATTAAATATAATTAAGCAAATAGCAGTAAACAACCGATACAACGAACAAACAATTAATAAAATGTTAAATCAAAAACTACACAAGAAAGCCCTGAAAATAGTATTTCCACCACCAGAGAAAAAACCCAGCACCTTCTGCTTGATTACATATACAGGCAAAATAACAACAAAAATTGCCAAACACATAAAAAAGAAAGGAATAACACCAGCTTTCCGAACAAATAACAACCTAGGTAAATATATTAAAAATAACAAGAGCCAAAATAAAAAACACTTAAATAGTGGTGTGTATAAAATTCAATGTGGCGACTGCCCAAAAACTTACATCGGTCAAACTGGTAGAAACTTTGAGAAACGAATAGCAGAACATAAAAGGGCTTTCAAGAATAGAAGAACAGATTCGACATACGCACTTCACCTTCTAGATCATAATCATTCTTTTAATGACAAATTTAAAATTCTTCACATTCAAAATAAAGGCCTTAAGCTATCTATGTTAGAATCTATGGAAATCAACAAATTAAAAAACACAGATATAATTCTGAATGACCAACTTGAGACAAACAGTTTTCCCCTCCTCAACCTATTTCATTAGAGACTATAAAATATAAACGCATGCCAAAAATAGATCACTTGAGAAAGGCTATCAGCCGAAACAGCTGTAGTGATAATAGTTCAAATAAATTTTGTGGAAGTTTGAAAACAAAGTTTTCAGTGTTTTATTGTTACATAAATGATATTTAGTTGTAACTATTTTTTAATTTGGTTTGTAAATAAAGTGTTTTGATTATGACTTTAATTTATTATTCAAATTCATATCATTCTGTTATTTTATCAAATCCTATTATTAATTATTCTGCTGGTATATGTATTTTATTTAATGTTTCGTTAACTATTAACTGCATTAAAGATATTTTATAACAAAATTCAGAAGTATCAATGGTTTTGTCTATTTTTCTTTCGTTGCCTGGAGTAATTGCGTTAAATCAGAATTATACAGTTGAATTTTTTTTTTATTGAGTTAATACCTCGACAACTATGATCATTGGCATGGTACAGTCAGGTACCTAGCGTAGTGTCTGTGTATGTGTAGAGTAATTGTCGTGATACTTAGCAAAGTCGACGTAATTGTCTTTGCTAAGAGACGCTAATTCTATCTGAACGTCTGCGGTCCCTCCGGTGAGTACCGATCGCACATGGATAGAAATTATTTTCATTCATTAATTTTTAATACGCAAAAATTTCTCTACCCAGATGGGATTCGAATTCACGACCTTGAGGTTTAAAGGTAGGCGCTTTTACCACTGAGCCACAGAGGGGGTATACAGTTGATTTGTAAAATGCGATTATCTCGAAAACTGTTTAGTATTGAAGGCATTAACAGTTATACCTTTTTTTGTTGAAATAATATTATTAAAATAATATTATATAACTCTTTAGAATAGCTCGAGACAGAGACAGTTTCGCCATGTTAATCGCCAACGTCAAGAGGACTTGATAGGGCACGTTAAGAAGAAGAAAATAATATTAAAGTAATATAAAAATGTTAAAATAATATTTGGCTACCACCAAAAGGTACTTTAGGGGAGATATTGCAGCTGGCAAACCTTTCTCCTCACCTTCCCCAGACAAGCTCACAACCACCTGGCCATCGATGGTCCAATTTTGATGCTTCTTCTTCTTCTTCTTAGCCTTCTGTCGTCCATGTTTGGACATAGGCCTCTCCCAACTCCTTTCATCGGTCTCTATCCTTAGCAACATATTTCCAATTTATTTCGGCTATTCTTTTAATGTCATCAACCCATCTCATATGTGGTCTTCCTCTTGGTCGTTTACTTTCGTAAGGTCTCCAATGTTGTATTGTAGTATTCCAACGTTGGTCTTTCTGTCTAGCAGTGTGGCCCGCGAAGCTCCATTTAAGTTTGGCAATTTTTGCTGTTATGTCCTCGACTTTTGTTTTGGATCTTACCCAGTCGTTCCTCTTTTTATCTGACAGTCGTATACCTAACATTGCTCTTTTCATTTTTCTTTCTGTTGTGGCTAGTTTATTCATGTTTGCCTTGGTTAGGGTCCAGGTTTGACATCCATATGTCATGATCGCTATAATCACTATGTCGTCAGCGAATTTGAGGTGGTTTAACTTGTTGCCATTAACGTTAATGCCATAGGTTGACCAATTTGTAGTTTTGAAGACATCTTCTGGGGCTAGGTTGAAAAGTTTTGGTGATATTACGTCTCCTTGTCTCACTCCTCTCTTATTGGGGATGAGATTTGTATTTTCGTCTAGTTGTACTATTATAGTTGCATTTTCATATATATTATATATTAGTTGCCTATATCTCGAATCTATTCTACAATTATTAATAGCTTGTTCTATGGCCCACATCTCGATACTATCAAACGCCTTTTCATAGTCGACGAAGGCAAGAAATACGGGTAGTTGATATTCATGTGCCTTCTCTATCAATGTTCTCATTATCAGCAGACGGTCTGATGTACTATATCCTTTGGGGAAAGCCAGCCTGTTCAACCGGTTGGTAATTATCCATTTTGTAGGTTAACCGGTTATTAATAATTCTCATAAATAGTTTATATACTTGACTAAGCAACGATATAGGTCTATAATTCTGTAGATCGCATTTATCCCCTTTTTTGTGTAAGAGTATTACTAGACTCTCGTTCCAGTCTTTAGGGATCTGGCTATTATGGAGACATCTATTAAATAGCTCTGTTAGTACAGGGATTGTTAATGTTTTGCTTGTTTTCAAGAGCTCGGCAATTATACCGTCGTGTCCTGGAGCTTTATTATTTTTTAGTTCTTTTACAGCTCTTTCTATTTCGTATCCCTTTATATTTGGTAGTACTTCTGATCCTACGTTTTTTATTTTTCTTTTGACGTTCTCCTTTGTTGTTTCATTAGGATGGCCGTGCGAGCTGTACAAGGATGTGTAGAAATCTTCGACAATATTTGTTATTTTTTATTTGTCCTTCTCTACCTTATTGTTGGCGTCTTTAATTTTGATGATTTTTTGAAGTCCCAGTGCGGGTCTTATTATAGACATTTTAAGCCTCTGTTGTTTTCAATGACTCGCTCTATTAAGTTCTCGTTCCATTTTTGAATGTCGCGTTTTAGTTCTTTCTAATTGTTTTATTAAGTTCTCTATATTCTTGAGTATGGCGTTTGTTTTGCGCTAGTAGTTGTCTTCTTTCCGTCATTAGCTGTTTAGTTTCATTGCTTATTTTGTCTTCCTTTAGTCCTTGTTTTCTTTGCGACCTGTAGTCCTGCTGCGAGAAGGTTTTATTTAGGTTTTTATTCATCTCGTCAATTTGATCTTGATTATGTGAAGGATCAAATTCGAACTTATCCGCTAAGACCTCTCGGAATTGCTCCTCATTTGTTTTTAGTTTAAAGGCATATATCCTCGTTGTTTTTTTTTATCCTTTGTCTCTCTTCTTTCATGTTAATATTTATTTTTGATCTGACAAAGAGCGTTGTTTATTGTTGTGACGTCTTCAAATATTCCTTTGTTATTTGAGAGAAAATAGTCTATTTCATTTTTAGTAGTTTCGTTAGGTGCGACCCATATCCACTTTCTGTTAGGATTCTTTTTGTAGAAGGTATTCATAATATACATGTTTTCTTGTTCCAGGAATTCCATGAGTTTTTCTCCTCTTGTGTTTCTTGTGCCGAATCCAAATTTTCCAATCTTGCTTTCAGAGTCTTCAATCTTACTTCCAATTTTGACGTTAAAGTCTCCCATTATTATTATTTTGGATTCTTTGTTGTTGTCTATAGCTTTGTAAATTTTGATGCAATCTTGCAAAATTCAATCTCTGAACACTGTGTTTTCTGGTAAGCAAAGGTTTTTTAGCCGGTTTCCTGTTGCTCAATTCTGCTTTATGTAAACGTCTTCGAACTGTTCGAGACGATATCGCGACATTTCGAACATCTGCTAGTTCATTTTTTAGCAAATTGCTGGTGACTCTCCTATCTCTGCGACCACGTTGTCTCAAAAAACTATCATCAATTTGATTAGTGCCACGTTTTCGCCCTTGCCCTAGTCTTCAATGGTACGACCCTGTTTTATTATATCGCCTCACTTTGCAACTGGTTCTGGAATGATGTCTTCCTAACAAACCTGCAACGTATTGCATTGAATATCCTTCATCTAGGAGAGTCGAGGCTTGCACTGCCTCCTTCATTGATACATGTCTTTAGCGGTTCATTGTTTTATTTGATTTTTATGAAAATAAACTTCCAAACATGCATGTAATGAAAAATATCACAATAAAAAGCTTTTTTCTGACAAAAACACTTTGCTTTAATCGCACTTTTTATGAAAAGTTTAACTCACTTTTAGTCTAAAACGAAGTTTAATACAAATTATTGTTAAAACAAGATTATTATTAGCTTACATAACAACTGTCACTGTCAAACTAGGTCCATAGGCAACTTGTCGTACAGTAAATTATCAATAAATAAAGATTGTTTGAGTGGTGCGTTAATTTTGTCCAGGAGTTTATATATATATATATATATATATATATATATATATATATATATATATATATATATATATATATATATATATACATATATATATATATATATATATATACATATATATATTTCATTTTTACTATGAGTGAGTTTTTAATAATCTATTGATTGTAACCTGAATTTTCTTTCTTAAAAACAATTAGTACCATTAACCATTATTTGTTGCGATAAAATGGACTTGAACATTATTTTTTCTCTTCTATATTTTTTTCAAATTTACTCAAATTTGGCGGCCCTGGCATAATAATTCTACACTCGAGTGTTGCTAACACTGCTTAAGTTAAATGACAGATTGGCAGAATGACAGAATATCGTCTGTGAGCCGTTTTATCCACCGAGAGAGACTTTGATGTAATTTCGGAATATTGTAGCTGACAATATAGTACAGTGGACAGTTAAGTAAATAGGGGAGAGTTACCTAAGACAGACGGTTCCCAAGTAGGGACACTAGCAATTCTAGAAAATCTGTAACAAGTGGCAACACCTGGAAAAATGAAAGCTCGCCATTCAGTCGTATTGTCACGTAAACGACACGAGGCTAGCATACTGGTAGCGTTCGTCAGGACAAGTTGTTAATGTTTACATATTTTTTTAAATTCATTTACGTACATTATAGTGAACATAGCGTTAATGGTAAGTATATGTGAAACTTAACGTTATTAGTCAATAACAGAGTTTATAGTCATTGGATTTCACTTTAAAGTATTTGCCAATAAAGCTTTTGTTTAATATCGGTTAAGATTTTTACAAAATGGGTGCAAATCTCTTAAGATGGGACAAAGTTAAACTGCCTAAGTCGGGACATCCCATCTTAGGAACTAAAATATGGCTACAGATATTCTTCTTATACCTGCCTACTTTTAACTAATTAAATCATTAATTACTCATAAATTCTTACACATAACGGTAATTCATTCTAAAAACATTTATAAGTAGGGGTTCAGTAATTAGATTATACCCATGGAGGTCATAATATTCTAACCTTGATTATAGCTAAGTAAAGATAATGTGTCATTAAAAAAATTTTTATTCAGGGAACTCTATATCTCGTAAGTGGCACTGATATATTTTTCTTTTACAGATGCCAAATAGAAATCCAAATTCCTATTACAAAAGAAAAACTAATCGTGAAAACTGGTCCGTTCAAAATATGATTCTAGCTGTACAAAAAGTTCGGAATAACGAACTATCGCTTCGAGAAGCTGCTGACAGATATAATATTTCTAGAAGTACTCTTCAAAGACGAGTTACAAACAAAAATAAAATCGTGACCGAAAATGACAAATATCTTTGTCGGTTTAGGCAAATATTCTCAGTTGAACAGGAACACGAAATTTTAGATCATATTCTTGAAATGAAAAAGCGATTTTTTGGAATCACTTATAAAGAACTTCGTTGTCTGGCATTTGACTTTGCCCAAGCCAATAATATAGCTAACAATTTTAATAGAGATACTCGAATGGCCTCTAAAAAGTGAGTTTATGGGTTTTTGAGTCGACATAGAAATATTTCTCTGAGAAAACCAGAAGCAACCTCATAAGCTAGAGCTACAGGATTCAACAAGAATGCAGTCCAAAGTTTTTTCAACAACCTGGAAAGTATTTACAATAAACATCACCTCACTCCAGATAGAATCTGGAATATTGATGAGACCGGAGTGACCACCGTCCAAAAATTATCTAAAGTTCTTACTCAGAGGGGTAAAAAGTAAGTGGGAGATATAACAAGTGCCGAAGGAGGAGTTAATGTCACTATAGTAGCTGCTATGAGTGCAAGTGGCAATTTTCTTGCGCCTGCTTTTATATTTCCCAGAAAGAAAATATTCTGCATTCTTAAAGACATCTTCTGTACAGATAGCGACAAATGGATTCCGAGTAACCGGAATTTGGCCTTTTAATGAAGACGTATTTCAAGACTGCGAATTCGCTCCCTCTAAAACGACGGAACAATCAGTGGACAATGAAACTACATCACAGGTCAATAAATTACCCGTAATGATGGCTCATACCGAAGGCGTAAATCAAGTTGAAATGTATGATAATCCGATTCTTTCAACCTCAAAACAGTCTGTTTTAAGGTCACCTAAAGATGGCGATTCCGAAGATAACAGACCGATACAGAGAAGCCAAATCATTCCTATCCAATTTCCGACATCCAAGGTAAAAGTGACTGATATTAGTCCGCTACCAAAGGCACAGAAAAAAAAGGTAAGACTTCTTCTAGACATTCTCTGAAATCCACGATACTCACATAATCGCCGTATAAAAATGAATTAGAGACGTTGCAATTCACAATCTCTACAAACAAGGTTAAATCTGTGAAACGAACTGTAGTTATGGACTACAGCGCTCGAAATGCAAATATTAGCAATATCACAGTCGTCACTTACACTAAAGATGATTCAAACTGCATTGTATGTGGAAAGAAGTACGAAGAGAGTAGTGAAGACTGGTACAACTGCAAAATATGTTCAAATTGGGCTCATGAGTCTTGTGGAGTAATGGATGATCTCTATTTTATTTGTGGAAGTTATATAGAGTAATGTTCCTTTTTGAGAAACCCAACGGACCATCTTAGGATTTCGGTTTCTCATGATGGGACATTCACACTTTTTTTTTAATAACAAAAAACGAAGCATATTTTTTATTTAATTTATATCTAAAATGTCTTAATAATTAGAATAAAGTTTCATTTTATTACCTCAACTTTTTTTTAATATCTATAGATTTTCAAGTATTTGTTATAAAAAAAACTGTCCCAACTTGGGTGACTCTCCCCTAAATGTTACAAATTAATTGTGTTTTTAGTGTGAGTGATAGTGTTAGAAAACTGAAAATTAAACATTACAATATACTTATAGTTTTTATATTTACATTAACTATATTGAAATGGTTTACCTTATTAAATTTTCTGTTTCAGCCTTAAGCTTCAATGCCGCTTCCAGTCTATTAGCAAAATTAACTGGATCTTCAGCGTAGAACATAATATAAAGTCTGTGCAAATTGAAAACCCTTTGATGTCCATCTAAAGTCATCACAGTCCAACGTCTGATTCCTGGATTGTAATCGCTCACAGCTACGTTGATCCAGTCGTACATATCACTTAACACCAAATCTAATCTGCTTCTAGAGGCCAAGAATTCTACGGACTCGTTGTTTGGTGGGGTGCTTGGTACAAATGCTATAGCAGGCAGAGCATGGTGAACATTGTCGATGACACCATGTTGCAGCCAATTTTCAGGGGTTCTTAAATGTTTGAATAAATTAATTTAAGAGATTAACAACATATATAACACTTACTAAGATCAAAGAAGGTAAAAATGGAATTCTTTTATTAGTTAGAAATGTAAGGATTTATCAAAATTTTAGCTGCGTATTATTAAGAAATGGGTAATTAAAATATAATGAATACATACAGAAACGAAACGACAACGAGGTAGAAGCCTACGAAGAAAATAAACGGAGATAGAACAAGATTATAGCTTTAGAAGAAGCAAAAAAACAAAGAGATCACCACAGAAAAATGAAGAAGATGAAGACAAAGATACAAATTCAGTTATGATTGGAATTATGAAACAACTAATGGAGAAAAATGAAGAAATAATGAATAAAATAAAGCAAGCGAGAAAGTAGCAAGCCAAAAACAATAAGAAATTAATGGAAATGAGCCAATAGAATCAGAACTTAAAAACAGAAGTAAATCAACTACGGGAAAGAATCAAATACATAGAGAAATGCAGTAAAAAGAAAAGCCTAATAATATCAGGATTAAAAATGGACGATACAAACATAAGCGAAAGAATGGAAAATTTTATAGCCAGAGAACTGCAAGTAAAATTGAAATTAAGGAATGCCATAAAGATTAGGAAGAATCAATGCATTATATAAACAGAAACAATGAAAAAACAGAGATATTAAAAAACAAGAACAAGTTAAAAAACACAAAGACCGCATTCACATAGACAATGTTCTAACAATGAAAGAAAAATAAATACAGAAACAAATAAGCAGAGTGGCGAAAGAAGAACGAGTAAAAGGAAACATGGCAAGAATTACGATATAAAAAGTTAACAGGTCAGATAAACGTAAAAGGAGTAAGAGGAAGGAGCATTAAGAAATTTAGATGAAATGCGTGAGAAATATAGAATCGAAATATGGGCCTTACAAGAAACCAAGTAGCTGGAAAGTGAGATAGTGGAAGTAGGAAAAGTACTCTTTATAAAAGCGGCGGGACAAATAGATACCTGGGAATGGATTTTATGGTATCACGAAGAATAAGCCAAGACACAAAGCTGTCCATATGGTACAGGATTGGAGCCAATGGAGGCAGATAGCCAATAATATTTAGTCTTTCACCACGCCCTGATATGGGCTTAAGTAATGAGAAGGAGGAAATGCATGATCATGATTTAATCAGCAGATTATTCATCAGTAATTGATTATTGCAGATACTGTAATTGAGAGTGTGGAGACCTACACATATTTAACAACATGAAATACATCAAATATAGACCAAACCATAAAAATTAAGACACTTATTCAAATGGTGAGTAGTGGGTAGGAAGTCTTTAAATTCTTGAAGATAGTCCTATCAGGGAAAATGAATCAATCCCTGCCCTCCGCAGATTCCGGGAGATTCCTGACCCGGGAAACTAGTACCTGTTTAGGGTCCCTTGCGCCGGGTTACGGATCAAGTCCATAACGGCAGAGAAGCGGAGCTTCGGTACGGTGCGGATGGGAAAAATGGTAACCCTCGATTGTAGGGTTAATATAGAATCAAAACAGTAGCATCTGATCCAGAATGGACGGCTGACTAGCGTCTGACCCAGAGTGGGCGGCTGATATAAAACTCACCAACCCCTTCTAGCCAGCGTGGTGTTTTAAGGCTACTCATCCTTTCAACTATATAGACATGGCGAATACTAAAACGAACGGAAACAGTCCCCAGGGGGGTGGAGTATGTGATGCCAAATCTCATACCCAGACAAGGATTTGCCTCGTGGAATCTGTGGGAGGCAAGAATTCGCAGGATACACATCGGCACATCGGCTTAAAGGCGAAGAAACTACTCTACTCAAATCAGGGCACACTTTGTACCAATACAATTAAGGAAATAACCAAAGTATGGGAAACGTAGGCTTTTTGGTACATAAGAGAATTGAAAAGTTGGTAACTAAATCCAAACGATTTATAATAGAGTTATCTATCTGGTAGTAAAACTAAATCGTAATAATAATCCACTGTTATGCACATGAACTTCTTCTGTAGATGATGAGGTAGAACAACTTTTTGAAGACATTACAAGAGCCAGAAACTTAGATAAAACTATTACGTAGTAATTACGGGAGATTTCTTCATAGGAAAGAACGAAAATAACAACAACAACGAATATATAGGAAATTTTAAACTGGGAAGTAAAAATCATAGGGGAGATATGTTGGCAAATTTCCTCAGCAAAGAATATCTATTCAGCTTAAACACATTCTACCAGAAAAAGATGGAGAGAAAATGGACGTGGCATAGCCCAGACAGCAAAGTAAAAAATGAAATTGACTTTATACTATCTCACTTCAAAAACATTGCTAAAGATTTTACTGTATTAAATTCTGACAACACTGGTAGTGATCAACGATTAGTTATAGTTTATTTTTATGAACGAGAGAGTAATTAGCATAATTTTAACTGGTATCTCCGACCAATCCATGGGCGTGCTCAAGATTAATTGAAAAATTACTTTGAATAATTCTAAAAAATAAATGAATTATTTCAGTGTTATAAAGTGTTATGTGTATGTAAACAAAAGTGACCTCTTTTATCACACACTATATTAGAACTGACTGGCCTACATTAAAAAGGGATTTAAAAAATTCACATTTTTTTTAATTTTTAAAAATTACAAAAGAGAAAAAGAGTTTTAAAACCGTCTAAGGTATGTTAAATAGATGAATAAAAATATTAATACAAAACTTACAGCTACTTGTTACAAATCCAAATCAGATTCAGAAGATGAACTTTCAAAACCAAGATTTATAATAACTGGCTCGATCATTTTATCAGTAATATTGTCCAGCTTCCACATTTTTTCCCCTTCTTTAATAGTGTGATTTACTGCCTTTTCCCAGTTTTCAGGTTTTACATTATTTACGGCCTCCAAAAACAACTGTTTAACATCATGAATTTTAAAAGTTGTATTTTTTCTTGAAACTTCACTCTTTATCTGTGCCCATACCAGTTCAATCGGGTTTAATTCACAATGATATGGTGGGGATCTAAGTACTGTCATTCCACGATTTTTGGCAATTTCATCAATTTCGTATTTTTTAAATTTTTCTTTATGAAAGGCACACAAAGAATAAAGTTCCTTTCTTATAGATCCGGGATGGTACGTAATATTTTTTTAACTCAGCCAATTCTGCAAGTTTTTTTTAACCACTTGGTTGTGGGCAGTCCTTCTATAAGTCTGGAGTGATAACTTGCATTATCCATTACTATTACACAGTTCTTAGTAAGAAGATCTATCATTTGTTCGAACCATTCTTGAAAGACATCAGCGTTCATGTCTTTATGGTAGTCACCGGTACGAGTTGATTCAAAAGTTAATAAACCACCTTCAACAAAACCGTCTGAACTGCCAATGTATACTATTATCAGCCTGCGTCCTTTCCTGATGGTGGGTTTAAACCAGTAGATAAGTTATTTACAAAAGCGTGCCTTTGACTTGTAACAGTTTCATCCTGCCAAAATTTATTTGGTGTATGACCCTCGTTGATCCATGTTTCATCAAGATAAAATATTTTTCTTTTTTGGTTTCTCATTTCCTTTATGGTTCTTAGAAAATGTCTTCTCCATATGACAATATCGCTTCTTTCTAATAAAATAGAGTTTCTGGGATTCTTTTTCCAGCGGAAGCCTATTTCTTTTAAAAGTTTCCATAACGTACTTCGACTCATTTCTGGGTAATCCTTATCATCTCGAACTAAGACAAGAACTTTATCCAATGATGGAAATTCTTGTCTAAAGAAGAATTCATGCACTTTCCGTCGAAGTCCTTCTTTAAAATGATATTCTAATTGAAATTTTGGTTTCCCTGGAGCATTACGTGGCATTTGAAAACTACCACATTTCTCTTCTTTAATAACTCTGTAAATCGTAGATTTCCCAACACCAAGTGTACTGCTAACTAACTCAATGGTCTCATCAACACTTTCACATAAACGTTTGTCTGTAAATGATTTAAAAGAATTATATATTAATGTTTTTTCATTAACTGTTAAAGGACCAATTTTTTGGCGTTTACACGGCACTTCCAAATTTTCCATAACACTAGTATACACAATAAACTGCACCTTGCAACTGAAGTACCTACTTTTAGTGAACTGTTAAGAATTTTGAATACGCCACTTGGACCTTCCTACAAAATGGAAAAACCCACTATCACATTTTCTGTGGAATAAGTTTAGAAGGTAATTATCTAGTCAATTACTGTCGTAGATTCCTGGAATTAAAGAATTAAATGTTTGATTGTTGAAACCCTTACTTCGTGGAATGCACTCATTTCAGATAAAATAAAACGTTTTATTTTATCTAAAGAATTAAACTTTATTTTACAAATAGGTAGGTACTTATTAAACTTTTATTGGTTATATATAACCAATAAAATAAACATCTTACATTTCTTGCAAATTCATTAGTACCTGTTAACCTCCATCACTCCGACACTGGCAACCTTATTTAGGGATTAGTAACCCTCACAACTATTGTATTCTATTCTGCTCCAACCTTTATACCTGGTGGTCATACTCAATTTAAAATTGTTTTCCTATATACTTCTGTAAACTTGTTGACAAATATCTGTTTTTCATTGTCACCCGTATCAACAGTTTAGGGATTTGCATACATAATTTATTGTTTTATTACTCTCTCATACATAAAAATACACTATAGGGTGCGAATAGAAGTAAATATGAAATTCGATAGAAAATTATTAACACAGGATAAATTACCACACATAAAAGCACTTGAAATGAATCAAGAGGAGTATTAAAATGAACTAAAAAAGAGACTAGGACCTCTACCAGTATTCAACACGAAAGATATAAATAAAATAACACAAAAATTAACGAATAACATATCATCAACTGCAAAACAGGGGAATAGGGTGACGGAAAAAAATAATCAAAGAAATACAAACGATCTATGAGAATCTGTATACATCTAGTATACAGAACCCTGGAACAGACCATAGAACAATTCTAAACGTCGGTTTGGAAACTCTCCCTAAAATAACTTCTTCGGAGATTAGATATGCCTTATAGCAAATAAAAAAAAGCTCCTGCTGAGGATCGTATAACATCTGAAATGTTAAAAATGGGCGGCAACATCGTTGTAACGGTTGTAGAAGTTTTGTTGAATAAGTGTCTAACGAAAAAAAGAATACCCAGAAAAAAATAATAGCTAGTCTAATATTGAAAACTATAGACCTATAAGTTTGTTGTCACAATTATACAAATTGCTAACGAGAATAGTAACCAACCGCATAACAAAAAATTTGATTTATATCAACCGGTTGAACAGGCGAGATTTAGAAAAGGGTTTGGTACTAAAGACCACTTACAATCCATCAGGACACTGGTAGAAAAAACCACAGAATATATTGTACCTCTAAATATGGCATTTTTCACAAGGCTTTCGATAGTATTGAAACTTGGTCTTTTTGTCAGCCCTGAGAGATGCTCTAATAGACTCACGGTACACTACACTTATTAAAAAGATTTATAAACAGGCTACATTCATAATTCATTATATAATATTCTTTATTAACATGTTCTGCAAGGGCAGATCTTTCTGGATATAGTCTGCTGTCGCTACGATGACTGATTAAGCGACTACCTAGGTTGCGTGTGGTTTGTCCCACATATACCAAATTACAGTTGTTGCAAGGGATCTGGTAAACGACGTTGGAACGATCTTTGATGCTGCTTTTATCTTTAACTTTAGAAAATATAGATCTTGCAGTTAATGAAGTTTTAAAGGCTATTTTTAAATTGGTTCAATTTCAAATACCATTTTCAATGGTAATTGGTTTTAAATTGGAATATGTTCACCGCCTTTGAATTTTGGTGTTATAGAAGAATCCTACGAATTTCATGGTACGCATGATCAATATAGAGAGTGCCAAGCGAAGAAGTTACTAGAAGAATAGGAAAAGAAGCGGATATAATAACTACCAAAAGAAGAAAACTTGAGTAATTAGGACATGTACTAAGAGGACAAAGATACTCATTATTACAACTTATTATGTAAGGCAAAATTCGTACAAAAAGCGAAATGTGGAAAGACGAAAAATGTCCTAGCTTAAAATATTAAAGGAATGGTGAATGCAGTAGTGTAGAACTATTTAGAGCGGTCAACAAGGTCCGCATAGCCACAATGATTTCTTACCTTCAATAGAAGATAGAACTTGAAGAATTCTTCTTGAAACGTTTTTGAAGAATAGATTCTTAATAATTTTAATATTTCTAAGTAGTATTACATATTTGGACGCGTGTGCCACAGTTTTTATGTTTCTTTTGCAGTTTTGGCTGTACTGATTTCCGGATGAACAAACCGAAGTTTTGAAGTTTCAGACAGAAGACAGTGCTTCGATACTTTATAAAATTAGTGTATTTTATAAAATATTTTAATATTATATAAAATACTCTTTTGTAAAAAAAAAGCTTATAAGACCTTATATGCCAGACTACACAAATAGGGCAACTTGGAATAGAAAAACTTCGATTATTCTGATCAAATAATCAATACAATGATAGTAGTTTCAAAATATCTACCCATTTAGTCAATCATAATTTTTTTCATCGTCAAAAGACTCATTTACCTGATGTCAAACTCTTCGTTGTCAAATAGTTCCAATGGCAAAAATCCAATCCATGTTTTATCAGGCACATGTTCCCTTATTAGATCTATAGGCATTAAATCGGTGTTTTCTATATCTCTTATTTTCAAAAGTTCTTTTAGATCTTGACTCTAAAAATAATTATCAATATTTTAATATTTTTTTTATTTTATTGCTAACAGCATCAACCACTTTGGGTTATTAGGTAACTATAGTTAATGCATAGATACTAAATCTAAACAGCATTTTTGATAAATTATTTGATTCACAATTAGGTAAGATTGTCAAATTTAGGGTTTACAAAACAATAATAAGTAGTTACAGTTTGTTTAAAACATTAATCTCTTTCAAGTAATTAAACATATTTGTAAATTTACAATGTGCTCCTAAGACTGCTTCTATGTTGTTAGGTAGTGAGTGTTGTTTTTGTCTTTCACTAATAAATTTAGGATACTCTATTAAGATATGTGTTACATTAATATCACAATTACATAAGTCACAAAGAGGGCGATTTGATTTGGAGATTAGGTAGCTGTGAGTTTGTTGGCTATGATCTCTACGTAAACGGGTTAGGTTAATAAACAGCTGGCGATTTAAATTTAACTTGCACCATGATTAGGTTAAGGGCTTTATAATGTGTAGAGTTGATTATAAAAGATTCCATTCGTTTTTCCATTCATTTGTCATTTTTTATTTAAGGAACAATTTGTAGTTACAAACAGACACTAAGTTCACTAACACTGAAAAAGCACTGTGTATTGTTTTCCTGGCATGAAAACCTGCTAGTTCGTTTGCTTGTAGTACAATGTGTGATGGAACCAATATAAAGCGTACTTGCTGCCTCGCGTTGTTTCTTGTGTTTTTCATGTACCATGTCCTTTCAGAACGTTGGTTACCATCATAGCTATCTTAATTTTATTTACTGCCACCCTAAATAGCATGCTTGTATCAACACCATACCAATCTCGCAAGTTCTTCAACCATAAGGTTCTTCTTCGTCCTGGACTGCGTTTGTCTGCTATTTTTTCTTGCATGATATTTTGTAGCAACCTATATTTGGGACCTCTTATTACATGTCCGAAATATTCCAGCTTTCTCTGCTTGATACTTTTTATGATCTCAGTAGTCTTGCTGAGAAGTTCTAGTATTGTGGTGTTTCGAATTTTCTCCACCCTGGAAACTTTTAAAATTCTTTTATAGCACATATTTCGAAAGCCTCAAGGCGATTTAGATCGATTTTATTCACAGTCCAGGACTTGACACCATAAAGTAAGACTGAGAATACGTAGCAGCGAAGTAGGCGGATCCTCAATGCCAATTTTAGGTCTCTGTTACATAACACCTTGAACATCGTTCTAAAAACAGGTCTAGCCTGCTCTATCCTAGATCTAATTTTGCCGTGACTTTCTGCGTTACAATTTAATTGCTGTCCAAAGTAAACAATTTTATCAACTTGCTCAAGTTTGGTATTATTTACATATATAGACGGTTTTATATGCTGTTTACCTATTACGAGTATTTTGGTTTTTCGTATGTTAGGATCCAGACCTGCCTCACTACAACTCTCAACGACACTATCAAGTAGTGTTTGCAGATCTTCTTGACTAGAAGCTGGGAGTACTGTATCGTCCGCATATCGCAAACTATTGATGACTTCGCCGTTCACAAGTATTCCTTGTTGTTTTTCAGAAAGTGCTTTTCTGAAAATTCTTTCGGAGTAAATGTTAAAAAGCAGGGGTGACAAGAGGCATCCCTGCCGTACTTCTGTTTTAATATTGAGAGCATGTGATTCCACACCATCTACTAAAACTGATGTTGTTTGATTTCGATATAAATTTGGAATTATTCGAACATCTCTGCCGTTCAAGCCAATGTCTTTTAGAGCTTAGATCAATATAGAGTGCTTAACACAATCAAATGTCTTCAATATAGAGTGCTTAATACAATCAAATGCCTTTTGGAAGTCGATAAAACAACAGTATATGTCTATAGACATTGTAAACAGTGCCTCTCTCGTTCCAAACCCATTACGGAAACCAAACTGAGTGTCATCCAGGTATTCCTCGCATTTATTGTAGATACGACCATGTATTACCTTCAGAAAAATTTTCAATAAGTGGTTTAACAAGCTGATGGTTCTATAATCAGCACCGGTTGTTGCCGTTTTCTTCTTAGGTAGAGCTATAGACAGTGAATTAGACCAACCATTAGGTAGTTGTCCGCTGGTATAAATGGTATTGAAAAACGAAGTTATAGCCTCTAAAACATTGCTATCATTCTACCATCTTTTGATTATTGTATGGCTTTTACCTCAGAGCGTGTTATTAGGGGTCCATCGCAGTTAGTAATATCGGGAGGTGAACTACTCCTATCGTCTTCGAATAGGTTCGTGACATAATTTTCCCATTCTTTAAGTTTGTCCTCTACTTCAAATAGTATTTTACCATTTTCATGCTGTAGCAATGCAGTTTGTTTATTATTAAAGATACCAGCCGCTTCTTTCACTTTTTTATACATGTTAAAAGTGTCGTATCTTTTTTCAAGTTCTTCAATGTCATGACATTGTTTGGCTAGCTGTTTACTCTTTGCTTCTCGTATTTTACGTCGAACTTCTTTTTGTATGCTGTTGTAAAGTGTTTCGTTATTTTTCTCTAGTCGCCGCTGTTACATCAAATCCAATATGTCGTCTGTCATCCAAGCCTGCTATTTTAGTTTTGACCTGCTTTGTAAATTTCTCACACAGATTTCTTTTACTGTTGTTACGATTTTATTTAAGCTCTCATCGACGTTTTCACCAATATTTTCCCAAATTAAATTTTCGTTCAGTTGTCTTTGAACTAATTTCTTAACTTTCTGGTCTTGTAATTGGGCTGTATCAATATTTTTGCGAGACTTCTTTTTGATCACTTTTTTAATTTTAATTGGGTTACAGCTACTATGGAATTGCGATCAGATCCAATGTCAGCACCTGGATAAGTTTTAACTGATTTGATGCAGTTTCTAAATCGATTTTTTATTAGAATAAAGTCGATTTGGTTCCTAATAATTTTGTCCTCTGATTCTGCATTTGACTTCCAGGTGTAAAGTCTTCTTGATTTGAGGATTCATGTCGGTGTTCTTATTAATCATAATTATTTTTGTCTTTTTGCAATTTAGCTTTAGGCCGTATTTGTGTCAAGCTTCTACAACATTATCCATCATTCTTTGGAGTCCCTGCACACTATCTGCCAGCAACACTGTATCTGCATGTCTAATGTTGTTTATAAGTTGGCCATTTACAACAATCCCATCTTCGGATTCGTCCAAGGCCTCTCTAAAGATGTTTTCAGATTATATTTTAAATAAGGCCGGTGACAATATGCAGCCCTGTACAACTCCTTTTTGGACTGTGAAGAACTCGGAGAGTTCATTTTCTAATCATACTGTTGCTTTTTGTTGGAGATATCAGTTTAAGATCAGTCTTATATCCTTACCATCGGGTCCTGATCTTTTTAGGATGTCGATTAGTTTTCAATGTGGGACTTTATCAAATGCCTTCTCGAAATCAATAAAACATGCATACACATCGCAGTTTACTGGCTCTCTGTATTAGAACTTGCAAACTAAAAAGTGCTTCTCTCATTCCGAGTTCTGCTCTGAATCCAGTTTAAACTGCACTCAGGTGTTCTTCTAATTTGGTGTATATGCGCGAGTGAATGATAGTAAGGAGTACTTTAAGTACATGACTCATTGTCCTCGAACGCGAATAGTACGCACTCCGAGACGCATCGTCCCGCCTCGAATTTTCCTATTGGTCCGTGACCTGGAAATCCCTATTTATCGTTTGAACAGCGGATATAAATATTGGCGATTTTCAGGTCAACCAGGTCAGTCCCTCACGGGCTCTCCGAGAGCTTAGAGCTCTTGGGGCTCTGCTTCCAGTTTCTACGTTTCCATACTCTGTGGCTGAGATGTTTAGTCTACTGCAACTTGGTGTTTTATTTCGACTTTTGTCATGTAAGAAATATCTTACCTTTATTAAGGCAAGCCACCGAAGAAGAAAACTTTTACGAGTCCATACCCTGAAAATGTACTTAAGTAGAGGAGCTTGCGATGCTATTTTCGAAGCCATCTACAGAGCACCCGGAGGTATCAAAAGGTAGTCAGACCCTTGTTTGTTCCCTCGAGGTGGCATCATCAAACTAATTAATCTATGTTCTTCACATTTTCTAGCGTTGGCTTTCTTAGAAAGTGGAATGAATATTTATAGTAGACAGTTTTTTGGTAAGTAACCAATTTCGTAGATGTTGTTGAACAGCTTCGTAAGAGCTGTGATTTGGTGTGACTCTAATACCTTTAAGATTTCACCATGCACCTTATCAGGTCCTGGTGATTTCCCATCTTTAATCCGCTTAATGACCATAGTTACTTCTTCGTTTGATATTTCTGGGTCGCAGCGATTGTTTATTGCATTCGGACTTCGTGCTGCATCTTCGAATAATTCTTGCATATATTCTTTCCGTTTTCGTTATTTATCTTCAATAGTAGTCAAAACCTGCTATCTGAAGTAGCAAACAATCCATGTTCAATTATTTTGCATAAATTCCAAGGCGTTTAAAGAAAAAGTACTTCTTGTAAAGCAAAATGGTATTTTCTATTTATTGTCGTTTCATTTTTTGGTCTGTTCCTATACAAACCCTTAATATTTTGGCATTTTGCCTTTGGTACTGTAACTTTTAGAAACTTGCGCATAACTTGTCAAGTTCTTCTTCAGAAAAACATCTTCCCTCCAATCATTAGGGAATGTTTATGTTAGCCTATTGTGTAAATTGGCTTATCTAATACAGGCTTCCCACGGTCGGCGATATTACGGACGTAAGCGGACCAGCGCGCACCACGCACCGTGGGAAGGGTCTCGTCCGTGGTAGCGCAGGCACGTCTGTTCTGGTCCGTCCTATCCATCTAGAGTCGGTAACATCAAAGGTGCGGTATATGCTCGTGCGACGCGATCCAAGCGCGTCTGTGTTTTAACAGACGACAAATGCAAGTCAGAAGTTTTTTATTCGCTCTTACGAGTAGTTGTCTGTAGTGTTGTCAAAGTTGTTTTGCAGTTTTTTGCTAAAAAATAGAATGGACAAACGAAGTTATTTTGGATTTTTTAAATTTGTAAATAAATCGTAAGAAATCGTGAGATTTCGCTACAGTTGAATTTTGAAAGAAATGAGAGTTTTTAAATGATATATAATTATAAAAAACTATTTTAAATACTTTGTATTGTTATATATTAATTAATGTATAAGTACGTACTTAAAAATTAATGTACTAGAAAAGGGTCTACTTTAGGGGAACCACCAGTATCAGATATAATTTTAGGAAATTACCTACCTACCTATATCTATATACTGCAAGCTATGGATTTATCGATTCAATATTAGGCAATGTTTATAAACATTCTTTATAGTTTAAACTTCAATGAAAATTATAAACCTATTTTACCCAAGAATATTATGTATAATAGGTATATATTAGGTAAACATAAACATTTTGTTTTCTGAAGATTTAACATTTTATCGGTACTTGTAGGATTTCAAAGTTATTGAAGATGGAATATAAAGTTATTGTTATATGCAATTGCTGATTTGTTTCATATCTCGAACACACACTTAAATCATTTTGGTCTGTTGATCCTTTAATACAAAATTCCGGCTATTCTTGATATTTATTGATAAAATATACATAAACTTCAGTTGTTTATGGACCGATATTTACACTTTCAAAACAATAAAGAACCTTTTAAGCTTTGTTTATATTATTTTGTGTATACTAATTGGAGTAGTGCAAGCATTTTTGTATAAAAATATAGTTGATTTATGAATATTTCAAGGTGACAATCTAAGAGCACTTTAAAAATGCTGATTTTCTCGTATAAATTTTATTAGGTACCCATTATTTATCTTTAGATTTAGTAACAGCCTAAAAATTTTAGAAATCGTAAGATATAAGACGTCAATCGTGAGATCGTGAGATTTGTCTTCAATTCGTGAGATCTGACGATAAATCGTGAGGAGTGGCATCACTGCGTCAAATCAAATACTACTGTCACGGACCTACACAGACTGTCACGGACCGTGGGAAGAGCTCTGTCTGCGGTGCGTTGCCGTCCGTGGTTATCGGCTGTCCGCGAAGATCTGTAGAATCGCCGACCGTGGGAAGCCACTGTAAACGGTTAGTACCTTTTTGCCATCTTTATTGGACATATTAATTTTTTGATTTGATTTCACCTCTTATTGTTGTTATTTTAAGCATTAAATAAATAAATAAATCAAGAATTTTAATAAATAGATACTTTGGTCAAATTAACTTCAGTATAAAGCAATGAAACGTTAATCAAATTTTGAAAATCTTTCAGAAATAATATTAAAAATAAGTTAGTTACCTGATATTCTCTACGACATCTTTCAATTGCTACACTCCTAGGGAGAGTTTTGGGTTCAACTTTATGCTGCAACTGAACTTTTGGTTTGAACGTGTCGACAGGAAAGCTCTACAAAAAATTAATAAAAGAAATTTATAAAAAAGTTATCTTAGAAGTCAACAAACGAAAAGTTTGGATTAGGTTCGATTAGAAAAAAAAACATTTTATTTTGTTTAGTAATATTAGCGTGCATCTGATAGATCAAAATGTTTTGGATTAAAACCTAGTATGGTTTTTAAGATACTACGTTGGGTATATTAGTCCAGTTAGTCCAGTATACCACGGTAAAAAGATGATATAACCTCCGATTTCCATCAACACGCATTGATTTTGATGAAATTTTAGAATTATTTACCCTTATTTTCAAAATCTACCCCAAGCCGAAGTATACTTTTACCTTGAGGTGAAATCTACCCCAACTATGGGATTGGAACCTTTAGATTCAAAAGAATCTCAAGAATCGATAGAAAAATATACTCGAAGCAAAAAATGTTTTATGGAGTTTTTCGACGAGTTAACAGTTTAAAAATACAGTGGAACCTCGATTATCCGTCAGGGCACCGGACCAAGGGTATGACGGATAATCGAAAAGACGCTTAACAGAACATTAAAAAAAATCATAGTATAACTCTCAAATTTTATTTGTATGTTTTATTTAACAATATAAGGGGGATTTATATTAGTACAGTCGAATCAATTTAATTTAAATTATTCCGAAAGCTTTGTTTTTTTTTTTATTCTTACTTCACATTTTGCAACGGCTGAATGTCTTAATCGACGTAAAATCATTAAATCTACCTTATAGGTAGGAAAGGAAAGTAAAAATCATATACCAGCATTTAAAAATAGATGACAAGGTGCTGAAATGAAATGCAAAAGAAAATAAACCCAGATATTCAAAACGCTCCAAAAATACATTGGAACATGGAACGTGAGGACGCTGCTGGAAACAGGAAAATAAAAGAACTAGCGACACATTTGAAATAATACAAAATAGATATTGCAGAAATTCAGGAAACGAGATGGAAGGGACATGGAAAAATCGAAAAGGAAAATTATAGAGTATGGTATGCAGGCGAAACGGCTTTTATGGTGATAGGAGAAATAAGGTATAAAGTTGTGGAATTTAAACCCATAAGTAAAAGAATATCATATATAAGAGTAAGCACCAAATCAAACAAGTTGTCTATAATAAATGTCTATGCACCGACAAAAACAGTGATCACTTGACAAAACAGCAGTTCTATGAAACACTAGAAAAAACGCCGAGAAAATCCTGGGAGAATATATATTAATCCTTATAGGAGATTTCAACACCCAATAGGCAAAGAAAATTGCATCAGAGAGGTTGCAGGTGCAAACTTATTACATGACACAACAAACAATAATGGAAAAAGACTATATAATTTAGCAGCGGCATTACACATGGACATAAGTAGCACGAGATATAAAAACCAAAGACATATACAAAATAACATGGATGAGACCATGAAGTCTGGAGGGAAATCAAATAGACCATGTCCTAATTGACACATAAATAATCGATAAATGACGTTAGATCTCTCAGAGGGGTCTACATCGATTTGGACCATATGCTAGTGATTACAAAATGTAAAATGAAAATTGAAATAAAATGAAAAGCGAAAAGCACAGAAAAAATGGGACAAATACAGAGATGCAGTTCAAAGAACAACAAATGGAGGAACAATGGAAAAAATCAAACAAGGAATAAACAACGCAGCAAAGAAAGAGGTTGACAAAATGCAAAATAAAAGAAGAACTCATTGGTTTGACGATGAGTGCAAATTAGAAGTGGAAGAAAAGAATAAAACAAGATTGAAATGGTTAAGCACAAATAAAGAAGAGAAGCGAAAAAATACAAAGATCAAAGGCAAAAAACAAAAAAATTATTTAAATCAAAAAAAATTCAAAAAGTAGAAGAAATTATGAACGAGATAAAAACAGAAAAAAACACACAACTAAAAACCATTGTGCCAATACTTAAACTAGGTAACCGAAAACGGAGAGCTAATATAGCTATAGAGGCCAAAAAATAGCAAAAGTATTTCAAAGAAATATATCAAGTAATGGATAGAGAAGAAGAAAGAGAAACAATAACGAACACAGAAAAAGATGAAGAAGAAAATTTGATACAGAAGTGAAAGAGAAAATATGCTAACTTAAAGACGGAATATGTAAAAAACTTATAAAATATGGTGGGGTAGCACTATACAGAACGATTTATGAACTAATACAAAATATATGGAGCAAAGAAATAATGCCCAAAGAATGGAAGACCCGAATTACAGTGACAATCCCAAAAGAAGGAGACCATAGAATATGCAAAAACTACCGAGCAATTAATTTACTGAATGTAACATATAAAGTAATATAAACACAGAAATGGAGGAATTGGAAGAAAAACATGACCACTTTAACATACATAAACTCGTTAAAGAAATGACAGGTCATACAAAACCTTGCAGTTTTAACAGTATTGTGAAGGACAATAAATTAATTACGGATCCCAAAGATCTACTTTAACATTACAGAAACTACATACAGCAACTATACTCAGACACAACTAGAAGAATCTCTGAAAGTGAATATAAAAGTGAACCCTCCCCCAAAATATTTAAGTCAGAAGTTGTAAGGGCAATCAAACAGAGCAAATGGGGAAAATCACCAGGCCCAGACGACATATACATAAAGGTTCTAACAATGTTGAGTGAAGACAATATAGACGCCTTGGTAGATCTTTTTAATAACATTTATGGGCCCGGTCAAATACCACAGGATTGGCTTCAATCAACCTTTATACCAATCCCAAAAAAGCCAAACGCTAATAGTTGCGACCAATTCCGAATGATCAGCTTATTGAGCCAGGTCCTAAAACTCGCTCCATTTTCATTTCGTTTCTTATTTGTTCGTTCCTAACTCTTTCTAGTTTCGATCTACCGCAGCTTCGTCTCAGATAATCCATTTCTGTCGTCATAAGTTTGTTTTTATTAGCTTTGGTGATGTCCCATACTTCCGAACCGTAAAGTGTAATACTTTGGACTATACTACCGTAAATGTGTTTTTTGGTTTCTCGTCGAATTGTTTTTTGCCAGAAGAGAGTTTAAGGCACGGGTCGCTGCTCTACTCTTGTTTATTCTTTCCCTGATTTTATCTGCGCTATTTCCCTTCTTATTGAAAATGACCCCCAAATATTTGCAGGATTATACGCCTTTGATTTTGTCGTGTTCCAAGACTAGGTCACATATTTCATCTGTTCCCACTGATAGATATTCACATTTTGTCATATTCATGTTTAGACCTGCCACCTCATATTCTTCTTGTAGTTTTCTTACTATATAGCTAAGATCGTAGCTATCTTCGGCAATTACTACCTGCTCATCCGCAAAGAAAAGTGTATATAGCGTGTTTTCTTTTACCGTTATTCCCATGTTTCTACATTTTTTTACCCATTTCACTAAGGATCTGTCCAAATAGATTTTAAATAAGGTGGGTGACAGACAGCAGCCTTGTCTTAGTCCCTTTGTTGTTTGAAAAGGAGAGTGATTTCTTGTCCCATTTAAATTCTTGCAAAGTTTTGTTCGTAGTATTTTTGAGTGGCGTTAATAAGAATTGGGTTTATTTTCAAGTTATCCATTTCTATCCATAGTTGGGAGATCGGTACACTATCATATGCTTTTTCCAGGTCTATTAAAGCTATATGGGTTTCTCTATTTGTCTGCACTCGTTTTTCCATTGCAATTTTTAATGTGAAAATATTATCCATAGTGGAGCGTCCGGCCCTAAATCCCGCTTGTTCTTCGGGTTGTTTATCTTTAATATCATTTTCTATCAGGTTTCTCAGTACTTTTGAATATAATCGGCCTATAGTAGCAATCACTGCGATCCCTCTATAGTTTTTAGGATACGTTTTTGTGCCTTTCTTGTGTATTGGAGAGATATACGATTGTCTCCATTCTTCTGGAACTTCTTCTCCGTTTAAGCATCTTTCGAATAATTTTCGGATCATTTCAAGCAGTTTTGATGATCCATATCTAATCAACTCTGAATGTATTCCGCCTGGGCCTGGAGATTTTCTTCATTTCATTCCCTTAACTGCTTCTTTCACTTGTTCTATTGATAGTTCTATTCTTCCTTCTACTTGCACTTGTTCATTTGTCTGTTTAAACCTTTCTTTTCTCTCTGTTAATAAGTTCTCAAAATGCTCTATCCATGTGTTCTCTGGTGTACTATTTATTATGACTTCGTTTTTTGTCATTGTTCTCATCGTTTTTATAGTTCTCCAGGCTTCAGAGCTCTTTGTCCCTCCTATATGGTTGTCTAGGTATTGGCATTTTTGTTCCCATGCACTATTTTTCTTTTTAACGACTTCTCGTTTGACTTCTTTATTCAAGTTTTTATATTGTTGTTTTGTTTGTTCGTCTCCCTGTTGTAATAACTTTTGATATACTTTCTTCTTTCTTTTTATCTTTTCTTCCACTTCTTTATCCCACCAATATGGTTTATCTACTCTCCGTACCTGTGGCCCTAAGGCTTCTAGCGCTGCGTCTTTCATGCAGTTTTTTATATGTCCTTATTCATCCGTCGTTGATCTGTGTGATTCCTGTAGTTTTTGTGTTAGTCTCCAGGAGTAAAGTAATTGTGTGCTCTCGTTGTCTAGATTGTCTAAGGTGTACGTCGTTCTTTCTATTTTTTCTCTGTGTTCTTTGTTGATGTCTGTGTGATTCCTGTCTACGAATGGTGTTTATATTTTTCCTATTATCAGGCAGTGGTCCGAACCGCACTCTGCTCCTCTATTCGCCTGTACGTCCTGTACTCTTAGCTTAGTTTGTTGCCTTGTTATGAAATAATCTATTATCGATTTTAGACCTCTTGTGTGCTGATACCAGGTGTATTTATGTATGTTCTTGTGGGCAAAAAAACGATTCAAAATCTTTAACTCATATTATTGGCATATATTTACGAGTCTTTCTCCGTTATTGTTAAGAGTTTCTTCTCCATGCATGCCTACCACTTTACTTTGTACTTGTTTTCCTACTCTGGCATTAAGGTCTCCTCCGCATATAATCTCATAGCTGTTAGGAATTTCGTTCAGGATTTTTCTAAAGTCTTCTTCAAAAGCTTCCTGTTCTTGTACTGAGTAGATATCATTTACTGCATATATCCCCAGAATTGTTATTTGTGTTCCTCTTGGGAGAATCGTCACTTTAATAAAACGTTCGTTGTATGCTTCCCAAAATTTAATATATTTTTCGAATTTCTTGTGTACAAATATAGATATTCCTGCTCTTGCTCTTTGATCCTTTTCCTAAAACTCTTCTTAAAGATAATTTACACAAGAATATACAACAGATGTGAAAGAGACATTAGCCTCACATAGTTCGGTTTCAGACAAGGATTTGGCACAAGAAAAGCACTTTATAGCTTAACTGTCCTACTTCAGAAATGCAGAGATCAGCAAAAATATGTCTTTTTATGCTTTATAGATTACCACAAAGCGTTCGATTTTGTTAATCATTCAGAATTATTAAGATTGCTCCAGGAACGTTCGATAGATGAGAATGACCTTAAAATCATAAAGAACCTTTATATGAATCAAGTAGCATCTGCGAGAGTAGGACTGGAATCTACACCGTATTTCTCAATCGAAAAAGGTGTACGACAGGGTTGTGTTTTGTCACCTCCCCTTTTTAATCTTTATTCTGAAACTATTTTCGATAGAGCCTTAAGTGACACTAAAGACGGAAGCAAAATCAACGGACAGACTATTATTAATCTTCGCTATGCTGATGATACAGTCATAATAGCTGATAGCCACGAAACGCTACAACGACTAATAGATAAAATAAACACTGAAGGAGAACGATTGGGCTTGAAGACTAATGTAGACAAGACGAAGGTAATGGTGTTTAGTAGAACACGAAATATGCTATTAAATATAAGAGTTAACAATAAGAACATTCAAAAAGTCCACAAGTTCAGATATCTCGGTAGTTGGATAACTGAAGATTTAGATCCAGACATAGAGATACGTAGCAGGATTGAGCAAGCCATAACAGCATTTACTAATATGAGAACCTTGCTACGCAACAGCAGCCTTAACTTAACGCTTCGATGTCGCTTTGTAAAATGTTACATTTACTCCATACTGCTCTATGGTGTAGAAACCTGGACCATAAAGGCCAATGAGAATTAGAGACCTTTGAAATGTGGGTATTTAGAAGACAACTTAAAATTTGCTGGACAGATCACACAACAAATGTCGGAGTATTAAATCTAATGGGCAGTGAATGAGAATTGTTGCCAATAATAAAAAGAAGAAAACCTGCTTATCTGTATCATATATTTCGAAATTCCAAGTACCAATTCTTAAAGCTTATTATGGAAGGGAAGATGGAAGGAAAACGGGGCATCGGAAGAAAAAAATACTCATAGCTTAAAAAGATAAGGGATTGGACAAACCTCGATGCCCATGCACTCTTTAGAGCAGCACAAGATCGAGAGGAGTATGCTAGAATTGACGCCAACATCCATTAATTGGTTAGGACACCATAAGAAGAAGAAGAACATAATGAAGGAATTTATATTATAATAAAACAATAATGCAAGCATGTACTTACAATAGTCTTGTCTTCTTCAAATGTCATCCATCTTTCTGCTGGTGCTAAAGCAGCTCTCTTGACTGGAGGATCTAAAGATCTTATAATAGGAGTGTGTTTCTCTGTTCTCATCTGCCATATTAGTTTCGTGGCTTTGGTGGCACCTGGAAGCTCAGTCAAAGTTTTGATCCTGTTTTCGTAGTTTAAATCTGCGATGAGCTCTGCATAATATCCGCGGGTAGGAAGTGCAAGTTTAAGGCTTTTCTTTCTTTTACTTTGAGAGTCAGTCATTTTGATTTATGCATCTGACTAAATAATTAATTAGACATATTTGACATTTATTCAAAATTAATAAACACATTAACTGCCGCCTAGGCTTTTTTGGAAATTCCGATTTCCATATGAATAAAGCAAAAAAATGTACTTTAGGATTTAACTATACAATAAAAAATGTACTTATTAACTAATAACTATATTCTAGGTTTCTAAGAATAATGCTTATAGTAAATTATAAAAGCAGGCATATTTTCTTTATAAATATGAACGAAATATGTTCATTTTTTTTCTACGCTGTTTGTCTTTTTTAATTTTTGTGAATATTTGGTGCTGGAAGAGAAAAATATTTATAGATATTTATAACTTTTAGAAAAACCGAAATTATTGACGCAACACTTAATACTAATAAAAAGAAAGCTCCGGGTTATGATCTGATTACTGAATTCGTCTTATGTCAATTACCATAAAATGCGATCCTCTTATTAACACAAATCTACAACTCTGTAGCAAGATTAGGATATTTTCCTTAACAATGGAAAGTGGCTCAAGTTATTTTATTCCATAAAATAGAACAATCTTTAGAATCCGTAACCTAATAATGAGAAACTAATGATAAAGAAGTTAAGTTCTTTCCTAGAAGAAAACTGCTTAGTTCCTGACTACCAATTTAGTTTTCGCCAAAAACACGCTGCAGTTGACCAAGGGCACAGAGTTGTTAATATTATAAACCAGGATTTGGAGGAAGGATATTGTTCTGCAGTTTTTTTCCCCGCATCACACAAGCTTTTGATAAAATATGGCATACAGGCTTGCTGTAAAAAAATAAACAACTACCATCTAAATACTATTTTTCTAAATGTGCCTATTTTCTAGAGATGTTAGCGACCACGTTGACCCATCTTATTCTATTCAAAGCAGCTCGAAATAGATTAGTTGACGTTAGATCAGTTCACTTCCGAAGATTGGCCAGCCAGGATATACGTCTACGTCCTTACCCTCGGTAGAAGTCGGTATTTATCATTACGTATGATGTGGCCGAAGTACGCCGATTTTCTGTTTTTTATGGTGTTGATAATTTCTTTGTCTTTTCTTGGGCTCTGGAGAATAGTTATGTTACTTGTGTGGTGTATACAGAGTGGCCCAAAAGTGTGGAAACCGCTAATTATCTCGTAAACTACTAGACATAATTATACAAAATTTGAGATACGCCTATTTTGGGATACGGAGATTCCATATTTGGTATTTGCAAGGTTGCCAGATTTTCAGTTTCTCTTATATTACTAGTAACTTTGGTTTTTCAAATGCTAACTATATATTCAGTCATTATTGGAATCTCCTATTAAATACGAGTTCAACCATATGTAACACTTATGATTTTATCTAGTCTGGAAAGTCTTAAATACATAAAACAGAAGTCTGGCAACGCCTAAATTGTTTCAATACATTTTTTAATACTATTTTCAAATACATTAAAACGTAACAATTGATAGTTTAGAATATTTTTAACATAATAGTTACGTTATTAAGTGTACAAAATGTGCTCCATTTGTGAGTTGACAGCACTCTAATCGATGGTAGAATGCGTCTACCACATTTCTCCATGATCGTCTAGAAATTATTCGAGATTCATCGATAATTCATTGCCTTAGCTATGCAAGACTTGCTGGTTAAGTTTTGTAAACGGAATTTTTCAATTATCTCTAATAAAAATAATCTTTTCGGGTGAACGTGGAGGCCATTCAATTCTACCTTGTCTACCAATTTATCGTCCGGGAAATTACTCATCTAAATAACGCCGAACATTTACACCAACTATCTGACGTTAAATTTCTTTCGACAAAAAATGGCCCAATTAAATAAGTACCTACTATAACTGACCATACATTTAATTTTTGTGGTCTTTGAGTATGGTTTTCACGCATTCAGTCTTCAGTGTGAATTTACGTCACACCAGTACCTTAAATTGTGTCGATTTACACTTCCACACAGTGTAAAAGTTGCTTATTATTGGGATATTATTTATTACTGACAGAATTTTATGGTATGTTACTAACAATCTAAAAGAATTATTCTTCTAATATGTCTGCAGTCATTCCCTCATGATAATAGTTGGTGGTTCTTGAAGTAAATTCTAATAGGCCACGATTTACAAACTCAGTTTAAGATCCAATATGAGTAATAAGTCTACAAACTTTTGAAGAGGTGGGTTTAAATCATAGGAATAACCTCCATAAAAGCCTGTCACGAATTGGTAATATTTTTATCAACCCAAAATTTTAAAACAATGTGTTCTTTATAGTTTATTCGTCTTCCGGGTTTGGACCGTGTCATTTGTGAGTGACCCAAAAGTGGGTTCATCTCGACGTTTCGCTACAATTGTATGTAGCTTCTTCAGGAGAATAAAGAAAAAAGAAAAAAGAAATCAAAGGACAGGAAGATGGGTAGTTAGCAACGGTAACTCAGTTACTCAACGCAACCAGAGGCGAATACTAACTACCAAGATGGGCATTTGGTCACAGTAACTCAACTACTTAACGCAGCCAGAGGTGAAAACCAAATGCCAGGACAGGGATTCACGTCCAACAGCTCAGAACACTAACGCGTCGAGAGGCGGGGAGTGAATCCGACGATTACTCCGCTACCGCTCTATTTATAGTCGCGGTGACCTGTCGTGTCGGGACGTATCGGCACACTTCGTGGCGCGAACGTGAAGAAGCGCGCGCTGGCCAATCATGTGGCTGCATCGTGGTAGCGGGACCGGACGGCGGCTCTAGACTGAGATTCCAGATGGGAGACAAGTAGTATCCTTCCTCTCGATTGATATTATGTGGACTTTTTCGGATCTCTAGAGATTCGCGGATTTTCCTGGAATAAAAGAAGGGGCTCTTAGAAATGATATGGGTTTTTTCGAACAATATGGAATGACCGGTTTCTTGGCAGTGTTCTGCAACTGCAGAATGGGAGAAAAGACCTGATCGAATGCATCTTTGATGCTCTTGAATCTGAGTTTTGACGGAACGACCAGTTTCGCCAATATACACATGTCCACATGAACAAGGAATAGAATAGACACCACAGGAAGATAGGGGCGGTAATGGGTCCTTAGGAGAGGGTAGATATTGTGAGATTTTCTTGGGTGGTCGAAAAGTAGTCCTGATACCTTCTTTGCGAAGAATTTTGCCAATCCTATCAGTGACGCTTCGAACATACGGAAAAAAAGCCACAGGAGTATTACCCGAAGATTCTGAATTTGTCGTCCTAGGGTGTAAAGGGGGATGTAGATGTCGATGTGTAATATTTTGAATTGTGGACTTGGAGTAACCGTTGGCGACAAGGGTTTTTTGCAGTTGGCCAAGTTCTTCTCTAAGGTTGTCGGGTTCAGAAATCGAAATGGCCCGATGGATGAGAGAGATCACAGAATTCTTTTGGGCAGGATGGTGGTGTGATGAAGCATGTAGGTAACGATTCGTGTGAGTCTTTTTTCTATAAACAGAGTGACCCAGTCGGCCATTGGGCTTGGAGGTGACTAACACATCGAGGAAGGGAAGGGACCGATTATTTTCTACTTCCATTGTGAATTTTATACTCGGATGTTGTGAGTTAAGATGATCTAGGAAGGGAGAAAGGGTATGTTGACCATGGGGCCAGATGATAAATGTATCATCAACGTAGCGGAACCAGACTTTTGGTTTTAAGGGGTAAGATTCTAGGGCTAAAGACTCAAAGGCTTCCATGAAAATGTCAACAATGACAGGGGAAAGGGGAGAACCCATTGGTGTTCCAGATATTTGTTTGTAGAAATTGCCTCTAAAAGAAAAATATGTTGAAAGGAGGCATTTTTCTGCAAGATCTGCCAAAACCAAAGACTTGTTATCATTGGTCAAGTGATCTCGCAGAACAACTAGAGAGTCATGTATGGGGATATTGGTAAATAGGGATGATACATCGAAACTGACGAGAATGTCTTGGGGATCGACCGTGAGGGAGGAGATTAAGGTGATGAAATGTGTGGAATTTCGGACATAAGAAGAGGTACGACCAGTATAGGTCTTAAACTGATTCGACAAGTACTTTGCGAGTTTGTAGGTAGGAGAGTTAATCGTAGTCACAATGGGACGAAGATGTACGTTGTCTTTATGGATTTTGGGAAGACCGTAAATTCTGGGGCAGATGGAGTTTTTCGGAACTATGGACTTCTTAACATCATCGGAAAGATCGGATTGTTTGATGGCATGGGAAATTTCGCGTTCGACTCTAGGAGTGGGGTCTCGAGAAATTGTATTATAACAGGATGTATCCCTAAGTAAGTCGTTTACTTTCTCTATGTAGGAAGGAGTATCCAGGATGACTGTGGCATTACCTTTGTCTGCAGGAAGGATTATTTCCAATCCCTTGTATCTAAGAAAAAATCACATTCCACCACTTCTACTTCTCATTCACCTCTTACTAACACCGTCGTTAATCTTTCTTCTCACCAATTAACAAGTGCAGAAAGCAGTCTTCTATCTAAAGGTCTTAATTTTGCTATCACTCCTTCCAGAATTCCTACCGAAGAAATAGTTTCAAATGTGGAAGCGGCACTCCGCACAATTCCCAAAATTCCAGCCGACCGTATCCACTTTGACGTCGCTAAATGTCTTAATACAGCCAAAATCCCTACTTCCAATATATCTCGTGAGGAATTCATAGCTCTCAAAAATCTCCGTTCTCTTTCTGAGATAATAATCCTTCCTGCAGACAAAGGTAATGCCACAGTCATCCTGGATACTCCTTCCTACATAGAGAAAGTAAACGACTTACTTAGAGATACATCCTGTTATAATACAATTTCTCGAGACCCCACTCCTAGAGTCGAACGCGAAATTTCCCATGCCAATCATGGATTCAAGAGCATCAAAGATGCATTCGATCAGGTCTTTTCTCCCATTCTGCAGTTGCAGAACACTGCCAAGAAACCGGTCATTCCATATTGTTCGAAAAAACCCATATTATTTCTAAGAGCCCCTTCTTTTATT